GATAATTGAAGGTTGCTATAATTTATTCCCTCTCTGCATTTTTAATATTCAAAATTGTTTAATATCTAATTACTAAAATTGTAAAGATTCATTTACGGGAAATTCTTTCTTTTCGCCCGAAATATCTCCGTTTTTTTTTAAATAACACGATAAAATACCAAAAATTACTGCCTGTCTAACTTAAACATTCTTTTTCTTACATAATCAGAAAAATATCTTAACGGGTATGTGTTCCTTATTTTTACGAAGCAATGTAAGATAATTGCGTTTTACCATTTAATAAATAATAATAAATTTTACCATTTACATATAAACCAGACATGCTGTATAAAAAAAAGAAAATGGCAAACCATGGCAAATATTTCTTGCAGGTTCGATGGTCGAGCGTCACCGAACGATACGAACCTCGACAGCTCGTTGTGCCTGTACACGATGTAGCCGAGTCTTTCGTTGAACTTCACGGAGCTGTTTTTGCTGCTGATGTCGGCGAGATTTTCGAGAGCGTTTCTTAGAACAGACAGTTGCCCGCACAAATGCAACACGAGGACGGCCAGGAACGTGTCGAAGCAGGAATAGCAGATCGCCGTCAACACGGTGCCCATGAACTGTCCTAGCCAGGTGATCTCGAAATTAGGACTCTTCTTAGTGTCATAGGGAAAGCTGGCTGGGTGCAGGAGGCCTCCTAAATCGGTCTCGGAAGCGCTCTGCGCATTGTTCCAGATTTGCAGCGACACGAACGCGAAAAGCATTATATAGGTCAGAGTGGAACAAACGATGGATATCATTCGACTCAATCTGGCATTCTTCAGCATCGTATGGCGATCCGAATCCGGAAGTGTCTGCGACCAGTCGTGCAATATTTGACTGACCAAGAACGTCAGCGCTAGAAGAATAGCAACTTGACCAGATGGTAATGGAAATAATAATGGAAATTTTCTCCATTCTGATAATAGGAAAATGAACAAATTGCAGGCTAATATTAGCTTTGTATACAGGATGTCACAAAAATGTCTCGCTATCCGAAAGTAGGGGATTCCTGAGGTCATTCGAAGCAACTTTTTCCTTAGCGAAAATGCAATCCGCGGCTTCGTTTACGAGTTATTAGCGAAAACCAGTGACCAATCAGAGGCGAGATCATTTGGCGCGAGACGGCCGAGCTAATGAGCCGAATTGGGCTCCGTGCACTCGCCTCTTATTGGTCAGTGTTTTTCGTTAATAACTCGTAAACGAAGCCTCGGAGAAAATTAACGCAAAGGAAAAAGTTGCTTCAAATAACCTCAGGAATCTCCCATTTCCGGATTGCGAGACATTTTCGGGACACCCTTTATATATTTAGCTATTATTATAGCTAATATTATTAGCTATTATTATTATCTATTATTATAGCTAATATTATTAGTTATTATTATAACTAATATTAGCTAATATTATAAGCTATTATTATTATCTATTATTATAGCGAATATTATTAGCTATTATTATTAGCTATTATTATAACTAATATTATCTAATATTATAAGCTATTATTATTATCTATTATTATAGCTAATATTATTAGCTATTATTATTAGCTATTATTATAACTAATATTAGCTAATATTGTAAGCTATTATTATTATCTATTATTATAGCTAATATAAGCTACATAGCTAATATAAACTATAATATATCAAGAACGCGTTGTAGTTTCGTTACAATGTATTAATTTTGTTACAATGTATTAACTTGTCCTGTAATTTCTTTTCTGGCCGCCTTCGCGATTCATAACTATATTTATTGCATGTCCGTATTCACTGCGATTGCTAAATATCGATGAGTGAAACATTTTATTTTTCTTCTAAAGAATTGTTAACGTGCACATTTTATAAATTCTGTTCGAAATCTTCAGTTACGACTTTGATCAAGCTTATTGTTTTTTAACTATGTAATCGTTTACGAGATCAACGATTTCAAGAATGAAAATGCGCTGTGTATTTTCATCTCAACGAACGTATAAGAATAAAAATGAATTGTAAGCGATGATCACTTTGCGAGAAAATAAGTAGAAAGTAGGCGATTGTCCTACTCCAATTGCCCATTTAGAGGACTCTAAACACTTTGACGGTCGTATATTTTATTGCGTCTGTCGTTTAACGCCTTTCCTAAATGCTCAGGTATTATTATATTTTGCTCAGGTATTAAAAACGCGTATAAAATGCATTACGGCAGAACCGAAGATAACGATATCATATGTATACTACGTGTCAGCGACCACTGACGAAGCCTAATCAAATGAGAGAGCATCGAATAGCGAATATCTCTGTAGCACAGATGGGCACTTTTTATTTGAAATAATGATAACAAGTGAAAACGACAAATACTTACCTCATGTAAGATAACAATATTTGCAAATAATCTCGTCGTTACAAACGGTAATGC